GGGCAAGAAAGCACCATATAATTAGTATGTACAATGGACTCTTATTATAGTCTTCTAAAGCCATACCTTTGAGTGAGAAACAGATAAAAAAATTAGGGTCTTAATTAACTGAAAGTATCATTTGCATCAAAGTGCATCATGTCGAGTTTGACATCAATGACAACTGGTCAAAAGACATGCCAGAACATATGACATTTAAAGTTACTGATATAAAACCTTACATGAATGAATGCAAACACAAATGAGATGTGAAGTACAGCAGAGCAGTGTTGACATTAACAAAAACAAAAACTATTACAAATTGTTTGCGTTAATTGAAATAAAATGAAAATGAGAAAGGTTGCTAATTTTAACTTGGTTGCTAATTTTTTTAAAGGGGTCATATGATGCGATTTCAAGTTTTCCTTTCTCTTTGGAGTGTTAAAAGCTCTTGGTGCATAAAGAAGATATGTAAAGTTGCAAAGACTAAAGTCTCAAATCCAAAGAGATATTCTTTATAAAAGTTAAGAGTCAGCCACACCTACCTAAAACGGCTCGTTCTATATGCGTGCTTGTAGTGTTCGGCCAGTCAGCTGGCCAATCAGAGCAGACTGCGCTTGTCAAAGGAGGGGGTTTTGTAGAAAACGAAGCGTTTGAGAGAGGCGGGGCATAGAGGACCTACAATAATGTACAGTATTTGAAAACTAATGTGTTTTTTGAACATTAAAGCATGTCAACATATTCTGTTACACCAAATACACAAAATAATGATCTTTAAAATAGCATCATATGACCCCTTTAAATAAAATGAAATAGCACAAAATATAAAAATAAAAGCTAATTCAAAATTTTAATACACACTATAATAGTGTAGAAATAATCATATAATACTGCAGCAGAATGGGTACATTTCATTGAATATATTTTGGTCTGTTTATCAAGCAAAGGTATTTTGCGGTTACAGAAGCCGAATAATGCAAAGTCATACTTTTATTTAAATTCCACGTAAAGAAAGAGAATCACAGGGAATTACAACAATTTTCATTTTGAGGTGAACTATTCCTTTAAAGGGAGTGAGTTTAATAGTGAAGAACAAGAAAGCACTACATAATTCAGAGAGTTCATCTCCTGACTGCTTTTAACATTTAACAAGATACAGCATATTTTTTATTTGCTAAGATTTTTAAACTATGCAAACAGAAAATGCTAATGGCTATAATATCTTAACCTTTCTCTCTTTCTCTCTGATCCTGTCTTCCCATGCACCCCTGTTTTTTAATGCATGTTCGTTAATCCTGTCGGTTATTCACCCAGATGTTTCAGCCCATCATTTTATTCATCCTCATTCTAGTGTTGTTCTCCTCGCTTTCTTATGCCACCATTTTTAAACTTGTATTTCTTTTTACCCTCTTTTTTGTCCTGTGATCACCATCCGTCCATTCATTAGCATAGTCACGCCCTTTGTTTTGTTTGTTTGTCAATGTTGTGTATGTTCACCATGGTTGAAGAATCACAGGACGGTCACTTTCCAAGCACAGACAGCACGCTTAAGCACAGAAGTCTGCAAAACCTTAATTTCCAAAAAGCTGGAGAATGTTTTATCCAAATCGTACATATATGGCTGCCATTGGAAGGTACACCATCAAGACAAGAGGGTTTTTTTGCAACTAAAGACTATCATACATCATAGGAAAACACTGAGCCACTGGAAACTACATTATCCAGAAGACATTTCTTTCATTGAGGACTATGGTTATCAGGCACACTGACGCTTGCTTTGCCACCAAAGGCTTGCAATGAAATATGGAACTGCAGTTTACTACTAAGGGGCATGTTACCACATTACACATAATGCCTGCCCCTGCACTCTAAGATACTGTACATCAGCTGGAATGATTTCCTATCAGAAGCATGCAATGGTGAGTAAGAATATGGTATATAACTGTATACTCAGAGAGGTCAGAAAAAATATGCATACATGTGTATGGATGGAGAATAACTAACAGGCTTTATATATTTGACTGGAGATGTCAGGAATCATCCATAATTGTGTGATAAGATCAACTGTTTTGCATAGATTGATTGATTGCGCAATAATCTGAAGAAATTGCACAGAAAGATTCATGTGATATGCTAAAGAACAGCTGTGGCTTCGATGGGGTGGGTGAATGGGGGTCCAAGTTCACATAAAGTGCCTGTGTACATGATGACAGTATGCACAAATTACCTTCTGCTGCACACTTTGTTGCACCAGAGCAGGATCAGTCTACTGCTGAACGTGCTTCTCATTCCTGCAAGCATGTCATGGATCAGCAATTTGGAAATCAGAGCTTGCTTTCTTTAAGAGTTTATTTAGCTTGTTGGCATCTCCAGTTTTAGTCTCAGTTGAAGCACCTGAGTCTTCAAGTTGTCGGCAGTAATTCCTGAGTAAAATAATTAAAGCTGTAAATAGATTAAAATAATTACAAAAACAAGATCTGTGGAAGTGTTGGGTTCACAATTTATTTGGAGCACAAATACATTTGTTTTGGTTTAGATGAGTCTAGGTGATTGACAAGAAAATTACACTTGGAAAACAACACCACATCTGTTTTTCTAGAGTGAGTCTCTTTGGGAATTGAAAGTAATTTGTTCTCAATTTCCTGCCAGCTGAAAGTAAACTCATTAGCGAAAACCATCAAAGATACAACTCTGTATTCAAATTTGCCAGTTTTACTGTGTCTCCATTCTCAGAGGCTTTTGCTTTGATGTTTTCCTTGTTCTCCATTATTGTGCCTGAAAACTATTTGAGTCAGCGGCCAATATTAGGGCTGAACTGTCAGCCGGCTGTTTATTGCGCAACAGCCACGTGTCAAATAAATACAAGCGTGAGGCGCCCATTAAGAACCGTGGACAGCACACTTAGTATCCGCTAATTTTGTCCAATGGTATCTTAAAAACAAAATGGACAGAGTGTTTTGAGAGTCCCAAATAGCACAGTTGCCTGCGGGCATTAGTAGAAGTCGAAACAACTGGAATAGGAGTCACAAGACCACAATCTGCCAAGTCCTAAAAGCAGACTAGCAACAAGACAGTTTCACAGAGGTGGGGTAGAACTGGGCATTTTAAAATAGCCATGTAAACACTCTCCCTCTGCCTTTGTAATTTTAACCTAGAATGTCGGTGACGACAGTCTCTTGCATGGAGACCACAAATGCCGGAATAAATCTGACATTATGATACCAGACACCTGGCAGGTCTGACGTCACAGGGGTAAATACTTAGAGTCACTATAAAGCCCCGGGGCCCCCTCAGGACTACAGTTGTTTACCCCTGAGCTTCGGACAGGACCGTAGTACTGGACAGAGGAAACATTTAAGATCCAATACGCAGGATTTTTACGTCACGCCGTTGGAAGCGAGCCTTCATGGTCTTTGCACAGTTACGTCCCGTTTGAGTACAGGAGCTGTCGAAGGGGAGGCGGTACTGAAAAAAGCGCGGTCTTGATTTAAGCAACAAACCTGTACTTGAACAGGTTACTCATACTCTACTCATATTCTGGAGCGTCTGTTTCAATTCATCAAAAACACATGAGAGGGAGTTACTGGAGGAGCCAATAATAAGATTTAACTGGTAAGGATTAAGAAAGCTTGTAGACAAGTACAGAACATAAACCTCAATGTTTAAACCTTTTTAAAGATCTTTCACTTGGGCTGAAAATGTTGGATATATAATTTTAAGAACCTTTTTAGCATCACTGGTCACATTTTACACTAAAAGTAAAGTAATATAAAAGTAAATTACTGTATTTACATATATAAGGACATATACTTGCTTAAGGAATACTAACAAACAATATGTACTTAATATGTAAATAATTTACGGAACTGTTGGTAAATTCACTTGAATTTACTACTACTGTGATAATCTACTTTTACCTATAGAGAGTAAGTGTGTATCAATCATTAAAAGGTGCTCTTACTATATCTTTTTAGTTTTATAACACATAATTACAGAGGGTATAAATATCCTTCCATTCTAACGTCATACGGTGGTACATTCTGGAAATTTCGTGAGTTAAACTGGGTGGCATGTTCCTTGACGGAAGAAAATTCCATCCCTAATACCCGCCGTAAATCAAAGCTTCGTTACAGAAAAACTTAGCGACGTTACCACGGAAAGGATGCAACTATTCTGAGCTCATTCAAGCGGGTAAGCGGGTTCTACACTTGCTTGAAACTTTGAGCTCATCCCTAACCTGAAAGAAGCAGTGTAACCGTGTAGTCAAAGATCTAGACTGGTTGTAGGTGTAGGTTGTGCAAGGGGCGGCCAGTTACTTTTTACTATTGTGCCTTTGATCAAGAGAGATCCGTTTACTCCAGGGAGACTGTCCATGTTATAAAACTGACTTCAGAATCCCTGAAGTCCCTTTAGGTAACTTGAGCATGTCTAATGAAGTTGGTGTCTAAAGAACATGCTGACAATTTTGACAGTTAAGGGCTGGTTTGAAGGACAGGGAATGCATATAGAAAGGATTCAAAGCCTTAAAGCAGGTGTCCAGAGCAAATAGCTGGGATTTTGTTTCCTTCTTTGCGTCTCCTTGAATGGAGTACAATCAAGAAGACTTCACTTATGTTCACATTTGTAACACCCTTAAACTTTAAAGCAAGCCATTGTTGACAGTAGAATTGTTTGACAGTGATTTAATTTACTTGCGATACCAACTACTACCAGATACTCGGATTACTTAAGAGTACCGTAAAGAATGAATAGGCTATTTCTCAATGATGAATATCTCTTTTGTCTTCATAGAGGTATTGGTGGACTTGCCAATGTGGTCACTCCAGTGACCTTTCAGAAATTGCAGCATAGGTTTCTGAGCACAGACACACATACGCAGAAGAATGGCTGCATTGGAATTGCACTGTGGGCCGGAGCCTGGGAGTTGTGTGTGGGGTGGAGACAGAGCTGACCTGCTTGACAGTTTTGACTCCGAGATGCAGGAATGGGAAGATCATTTCATGTAGGTGGGCAAAAAAATAATATATTTTTTTTTTATGAATGCTGAGTTTGTTTCTAATATTGTGATTGTATTTCAGCTGTATAATGAGGTCAAAGCAAGAAGAGAAGCCAGCGAGAGCAGCTCAAACAACAACACAAACAATAAAAATGTGGACATTACTTTGCTTCCTGTCAACTCTCAGTATAGCCACCAGGCCAATGGTTATCATGAATCCCGTGGTCACCCCAACAACAGCCTCCCAATTCGTCAATGCAGTGAAATAAGAGCAGATCCTTCAGTTATGCAAAGCTTTGGCTTTCACCACCCCAGTGAATACAGTAATGACTCAAACAATTACATGCTTAATTCCCTGAGCAATGGCAGCCATTATCCTGCCAGTTGTCACAATCTTGAAAGGCAAGATGCCACCCTAGACATACTCAATGGATACCTTCAACAGGGCCCACATTTTAGAAGGAACGCAGTGAATTTCGGAGTTCCAAACACAGTGAGTGCCTCTTTCACTACTGATAAATCTCTCCTTAAACTGGACTCTTAAACCTCAAGAATTTCTTTACACTTTATCCCTTCATTGCCCCTCTTCTTTTTTATTTTTTAGATCCAGAACCCTAAGGTATATCCAGTTACGCACAGCTATCAAGACAGCACGAAGACCAGCCCGGTAACAAACAGGTAAAACATTTTCAATCTCAACCTATCAGACTCATTCCTATTGTCCAATTATCATGCATGTTTCTTGTTGGTTATATAGACCAACGCTTAGTGTTTGCCCAATTTCCTCTTGTGACTACTTGGTTGATTTGTTTTTTTCACATTAGGACTGCCTCGTGTGTGGTTCTGGAGGAGATTGAGGCTGAGAACAAATCAAACAAGAAATCAAATTGGGATGACTCCCAAGCCCGCCACGTTAGCTGGAAAGACCCGGTTTCATCAAACGACCTTCCCCCTAAAAATTCAGCTTCCAAACTGGCAATCAGACAGAGAGATGCTTCTCCTGTAACCCCTCGCTCCACTTACCATGAGTCATCACAACAACCTGACAGGAAATGCCTCTTGCTCGACAGGAAATCTGGCAGCCCATCAGTATTGCGTAAGTTTGGTGCCATGTTGCAGGAGAACGAGGGGAAAACCTTGATAGAGGATGGTCTTGTGACCACCGTTGTCTCCACTGAACCTCCGAGGCACACCAGCACTCCCATTTGCCAGAGCAAGTTTGATGCCAGACGGGCATCCTCACGTGTGCCTGTCCAGAAATGCCTTGCAGACTGTGACGCACTGGTAGCAGATCTGGAGCCCAGCCAGGAGTCTTGGGCAGCTGGTCCTTCTAGACACCTCCTCAATGGAGACAAAGACAGTGGGAAGGGTGGTTGTGTTCTTGAACAGCATGGCTTGGCCTATAACTTAAGCCCGACACAGTCTCACCTTAACTCGGGGTATCACAAGGTGGCTTCACTGTCTAAATCCCACAAAGCGGGCTTCCAGAGTGAGGACCTATTTTCTGACTACCAGATGGTGGAAAGGATTCTGGGAGCAGGATCTCAAAACTTCAGTAAGGTACACAGAGGACTTGGTGTCGACATGATGAGACTGGGAAATGACAACTTGGAGCAGCTTCTAGAAATGATGGAATTGGAGAACAACAGAAGCCAGAGGGCCACATTCACCCAGCAACTGGACAACAAGCAGGTGAATAGGGTACAACTTTGATGAGCACACACACTAAATTTCAGTGCAGTATTTATTTTTGTCTGAATCATTGTGCCCATGCTCTTGGCAAGTGTTCCTCATTCCTGATTCTGGAAAGCCGCTTTCATGAAGAGTTTATTTCCAAGTGTGCTCTAACACATCTGGTTTTTAGATAAACCCAAAGGCCTTGATTAGTTAATTCAAGCACAGTTCTCCAGGACCAAGAATTAGGAACCTTGCTTTTGATGCATAGGAGCTGTGATGCTCTCGATCTCATTCTCCCATCTCTCCCTTATGCTACTTTGCTTTCTGTTTCTGCTAACCTGTCAAATAAAGTCATAATATGTTGGTACATAAAATGCAAGTAGATTAATCCAAGCATTGATCATTTATCCAGAAAGATACTTACATTAAAACTTCTTCCTCTCTAGGTCAACCGTGAGTCATCTCCTGCGCCCAGCAGTAGCCATTTTTCTCGTCCTGCTCGACCAGCCAATCAACGTCGTCCATCCAGATGGGCTAAGCATATTCACCCAAGCAAAATCGCCCACTCATCCTGCCCACCAAGCCCTGGCCTGAAAGCCAAACAATTCTTGAATTCATATTCCCGGCACACAGAAACTGTCATCATGTGACCAGGATACAAGAACCTTCAAAGGACATTTTCACCCAATGGCAAAGACGAAACTTTGACCTTTTGTAGAACACAATCTACATTTTTTGTATATATAACCACCACCACTATATCAAAGTACCTTATTGCAGCCCACTAGGATGGCCTATGGTGTTTTCCTTAAATAACTTCAAAAGGATACCGCTTTCATTTAACTCTGCGCTTTGGTTAAGTGCTTTGGAAAGAAACTTCAGCGGACATTTTTTGACCTGGTGAACTTCTGTGCCTATATGAACCCTTCATTGCCTTTTCTCTTTATTTCTTTTTGTCATTCTCATTAAATGTTGTATTCTTTTATTCTGTTTTCTATTTTCCCGAGTGCTTTGTGTACAGTGCAGTTCTTGTGGTGCCATGTAGGGCATTTTTGTAACCATATAAGCATGTATGCAACAGGCATAACATGTATTTAAACATACATGGCAACGAGTTATTGAGCCTTATCTATTATGCATAATCTGTAAAGGTGTGTGCAAACATTTTGATGTTCTGTCATAAAGTCCATTTTAGTACTGCATTAGTGCTTCATAATATTGACATGATGAGGTCATAACAGGCTCATAATATTTTTTATAAGCCTTATTTGACTACGCCTGATGTGGGCTGTAACTACTCGGTGCATGGCACCTTTTTGCGGGAACATGTCTGCATTCGCCAGCCTTGTAAAAAAAATGCCAAATCCATAACAGGCTCATAATATTTTTTATAAGCCTTATTTGACTACGCCTGATGTGGGCTGATGTGTGCATGGCACCTTTTTGCGGGAACATGTCTGCATTCGCCAGCCTTGTAAAAAAAATGCCAAATGAAGTGAATTATTCTTAAGTTCAACATCTGTGAAAAGTAAAGTATATCTTTTGACCATATTATAATGAAGAAATGCTTTTGGAATGTTTATTTATTGTTGTGACATGACCCTGACATGACAAAAACGTGATGCTTTTTGTTCTGTTTTTTTTCCTCTGGATAATAAACGCAAGTGCTTTGACGAATTAGTTTATTGTTTTTAGTGGTGAATGCTAATGTTAGCACTAATATTTCTGCTCACTGTTACTTTTCTTTGCAATCTGACAAGCTAATTTTCACCTGGTGGACAACAAACATATAGACTTATGGAGCAACCGGAGTCATTAAGGGCCAAGACAGTCATAAACAACGCCCCTTTAACCGTTAGTTTGCTATGAGTGGAAGATGAGATGAGGAGCACCAAGATAAAACCGCCCTCTATTCAATATTCCGTTTCAGTTGGAAATACGTCACCATATTAAAAGTCGGCAGCATCTTCTGGTTCATGCAGATTTTAAGGGTGGGTTCTTTTGATTTTGGCCAGTAAGCAACCAAATATCAATGTGTTGATAACTTTATTAACCACATAGCAACACCTATAATATCCTATCAGCAACTTCTCCAAGGTCATGCACCACTCAAATGTTCTTCAGAAATATAAAAAGTATAGTTTAGTATAGTAGTTTCCTGAAAATGTGACAACAGTGGGGTAAAACATTTTACAATCTCTAACATCTCCTTTCACTAAAAAACAAAAGCAAAAGTATAAGATGCTTCATGCCAACATAGTAAAAATGCCTCTCTTTAATTAGCTCCTTGTTAAGCAGTATTAACAGTATTAACATTGCTCTTGCCCTACGTTACTAAAAGCTATCAAGAAGCATCCTATTCCTCATTCAGAGTCCTAATGTAACCGGCTCTTACCATGCCTTACTATCTCTCTCAGTCCTGCTCTCACAGTTACTCGACCCGCTGCTGAAATGTTGCACCTGTGCCTGAAATAGGAAGCGTGACGTTGTTTTGGTGCCAGAAATCTTAGACGTGTCAGTGGAGGGCTGAGGGGGGAGGCGTGTGATGTTCAGGGGGCATCTCTCTCTGTCTCACTCTGAATCTGCAAATGAGTAATAAAGTCTTTCCTGCACTATAACACCTCGCTGGAAGCACAGAACAGCATCTTAATGAGGTCTTTAGATATAGATAGATGTTCACAACTTTCATGTGAGGTCTTCATAGCACGCCACATGGATTTATTATTATTGGAGTAACCTGGGGTTAAATGCCTATAGTGAGTGCTCATTGATCACTTGTGGGATTCGAACCAGCATCCTTCTGGTTACCAGCCCTGAGCCTTAACCACCACTCTTGGGTCCTTGAAAACTTGAGGTTTGTGCGAGTGGTGCTTACCCAAACAAAACTCCCGGCTATGATGATACGGTGTTTGCAAGGTGGATGGAAAAGTATTACTTCATTTGCTAAGGCTAGTTACTTGCAGACCAAAGAGCCAAGGCCTTACGATATTCCGGGGCAAGCTGTGTACTGAAGTAATAGCAATAGCGATGCTTTAGCATTGATGACTTGAATGATAAATGCCTAAAGGGTTAAATGGACAGCTAGGCATTCTCCATGACGTCATAAAGACGTCTCTCTGGAATTGCTGAATTAATCCTGGACAGCAGAACACCGACAACTTGGCTATATAAAGCTCTCTAAGTGAACACTGATCTCAGATCATCTCAGCCAGTGTCACCTGCTGTTGTAGAGGTGTATGGGGAACCGCTTGAACCTGTAAGAGTTGCCCAGTAACACACCTGTGATGTCAGAGAGGAAAGACAACCAGTAAGGAGCCCTTCAGATGTCTTGTTATGTGTCTCCTGCTGCAGCATATTACATAAGAGAAAGAGCGGTATTATACTTTCATAAGTTAATAATGATTAGATACAAGAAAGGCCCAAAACATAATCTAACCAAGTTAGCAAACTCAAATGCTTCTAGCTATGCATGTTTGATTTCACGTTGTTGCATCCTAAAAAACACAATTTATAGTACATACTGCATTCTCACTGTTGTCATGAGGGGCATAAGCATCAATTCCCCAAACAGCTTGATCTTCCATCATGATGGAACAAGCATGTTAAGATAATTTTATGAAAATGTACAACTCCTCACCTCCACTAGATTTGAAACAAGCAGTGACTGATATTTTAAGGTGGCTCTATTGCCCCATAAAATTGCCCCCATTGAATGCATTTAAGTTTGTATAATGGGAACATGCACATGACGTGCAGTGTACATACTTGCATGAAGGTATATCTGTGGTCTTAAAGTAATTCAAACAAGTCAAATCAACCTAAATGCTGTTTTAAGAGTCCAAAACTGGACATGCTACAAAGTTATCCTGGTAAGCAAAACGATTCACCCACATGTTATAGAGCTCCAATATATCTGTATATTTACTGCATTTTGAAAAAAAGCAACGTGAGCCTCTTGGGATCTGTGCTTGAATAATAACTGAGTTGGTAAATATCACCCATATACTTACAGTAGTCATTCAGTCCATGTATAATGATTTATGTAAGTCTGCGAACATTAAGACAGTAATGCACTCTACATAAATATGCAGATAAATGCAGAAGTGAATGGAAAGATGTTTCCAGGCATGCTGAGTTACATATAGTAACATACTTACTCAGCAAACTGTTCACCATGAAAAAAATTTAACTGAAAAAGAAAACTGATAATAGAAGGTGGTTTATGCTACAGCACTCCTAGGGAATGTGAGAAAGAAAGTGAAGTGAAGTGTGGCCAAGTATGGTGTCCCATACTCGGAATTTGTGCTCTGCATTTAACCCATCCAAGTGCACACACACAGCAGTGAACACACACACACACACACCATGAACACACACCCGGAGCAGTGTGCAGCCAATGCTGTGGCGCCCGGGGAGCAGTTAGGGGTTCGGTGCCTTGCTCAAGGGTCTCATCTCAGTCGTGGTATTGAAGGTAGAGAGAGCACTGGTTATTCACTCCCCCACCTACAACTCCTGAGACTCGAACCCGCAACCTTCAGGTTACAAGTCCGACTCTCTATCCATTACATGATAGTCACAGCTGCTGCTGGCAAATGCCAATTAGAGCCACAAGGCTCCAGAGGGTCATTAATTGCTATAATGGTTGATAATAACATGTCGAGGGCTTTATGTGTGTGGGCTAAACGACAGAATGAAGTGAATGGCTAGTGCAGGCTGGGCATAGCATGACTATGGCATGGGCACGTGTGCACCTCACGTTGATACCCTGCCCCCTTCTGACCTGCGGTTTAAGGTCACACACATACTGTATGCTCACACTCACACATACAGCAGGCATACATCCCTCCTCAGTACTGAAATAGACATCTAATAAAATCAAGAGACACAACGGAGAGTGAAACAGAAAGTGTGTCTGTGTGATAGAGAGAGATAATGTTAATGTTAAGAAAAATGGAAGATCATTTTTACTTAATGGGAACATTTAATAAGTCAGTAATTCATTATTTATTTTTAGTGTGATCATCAAAATCTAATTTGTATTCCTGTAGTCAAATTTTACCTTTGAGATGCCAAAAAAAAAAGATAATAAAAGAGGTAATTCTCACTTACAGTATAAAAATGATTGTTATTATTACTACTACTACTACTACTACTACTACTACTACTACTATAAAAAAGTCAAATTAAAGTAAATTAAAACATGAAAATAATAAAAAAGTATTAGAAATTAATCGTATTTAAAAGCAAAAAAAAAAACATACAGGTTTTGGCAAATTGGTGGCTAATTTGAATTTAAAAAAATCAACATAAAATTTAATTTGATGTCTGAATTCACTTTCTTGGTCTTATTGTGAAAGATCATGGAATTAAATATTTTTATTATTAAATAAGTAAAAATCGGCACATTGTAAAATAGTTACATTTTCCTGTGTGATTGGGTTGTAATTAACAGCAACGTATTAAAAATATAAAAACAAATGAACAATGAACAACAGTATATTTAGTATAAATTCATTATTATATTAATATTTAGCATAATAGTTTAAATTAACCTAGATTTATAAATGTTGTAAAATATGTTCACTGTTTATTTATGACACCTAAAGCATTAACTATATAACTTAATCTTACTTGTGAAGACATTTTATTGAAACCTGTCTACAAGAACATCTGAATGCTGTATTATTGTGACATCAGAACAGGACTATCCACATTTACTCAGCAACACTGTGCACCACAACTTGGGTCTGTCCATTCGGGGCTGATTAATACGTAGACATACGTATCATTTCTGACCTTAAAGGGGTCCTATTATGCTCTTTTACAAAGTCTTGATTTTGTTTTGGAAGTATCTCCTTTTGAAGTGGACTTTGAGCTTTGTAACTTTGCAGATCTTTTTTATGCTCAAACAGCAACATTACAGACTAACTAAAGTTGAAAAAGTGAAAACGCATAATAGGACCCCTTTAAGAAAAATCTGTTAGATGTGGGAATACGTTCACCAAATTGTTGTACTGTTCTTGCCTATGTAGTAAAAGAAATTGCATAAAAGTCTTGGACGGTAGCAATTATCACCCATTTAATTCTAAGAGTCAGAGAGTGGGTGGAAAAAGATCAAGTGACAACACTGATTACGACTTACTTGCAAAGATAAGCACCTCACGACCTTTGAGTCTTCCACGCACTTAGGATAAGGTGTTGATATTGACAACTGCTTGTGACTGATATACCAGGTCTTGAGGGATCATGGGAATATCTGTCCTGTTTTCTAAAATAGAGAAAGGTCACAAAACATCCCTTTGAAAGGAGATACTCATCCACGAGTCTTTAAACAGTGGAAAGGACAGACTATTGGACCACATACAAGATGGACACACAGTTGTGTCAAACACAGCAGGCAAGTTCTAATAAGTATATCAAGAGCAAACTACATTAGACTTAGACAAAAAAGGCCTGCTGTCCTTGTATCTAATAGAAATAGTTTGTGTTTGACTGACAGCTGTGGACTGACAGTCCATGTTTAGACCTCGCCATGACGTCTGTGGGACACTAGAGGATGACAGGCCGGAATGGGAGCGTTTGGGAGACTAACGAGAGACGGACATTTAGCTGGGCCAATTGTGCATGACTTGGCATGAGATAGGAAAGGAATCTTGTTGGCCATTATCTCCATTACTATCTGACAATGATCTGCACGTTCCTTGCATATTGGGCCAAACTAGAACCATGAGATCTAGGATCAGACCATTTTCACATCCACATTTGAGTCATGCCCTTTGAAGTCATTCATGATCATTACATCTTAATAAGGATCTAAAATGTAAAAAAGGTAGGTTCAAAACAAGCTTTTATGACAGCATCTGTTGCATGTCGAATGTTACCGCATGCAGAAAATAACCAATTTCGCATGTGAAATTTTCTAAATTGCAGCTAAATTGGTGCCATTTCAATCAATACAACTTCCTGCTATTGACACATTGTGGCTTTCCATCTTTTATGCAAATTGCTGCTGCCATTTACATCAACATCAGCACCAAATTGCAGGTAAAACTCGTAATTTGCCTTTGATCCCGTTTAAAACTCATTTCTGAAGGAGGTTAGTTATTTTTGTAAGGGAATTAAGAGAAAGAAAATGCACTGACTTTGAATGAAAAACAGAGGACAAGAAATTAGGGGTCTGTCAAATTTGACTCATTTCTAAAAATAAAATAAAATAAAATAAAATCATTGCAAGTGCACAATATACACTACTGTTCAATAGTTTAGGGTCAGTTAGTATTTTGACTTTTTTAAAAAATAATAAATTAATATTTTTTATTCAGCAAGGATACATTAAATGGGGCAAAAGTGACAGCAATGACATTTATGTTACCAAAGATTTTCCTTTCAAATAAATGCTGCACATTAGAATGATTTCTGAAAGATCATGTGACACTGATTAAAAATAATAAATTAATATTTTTTATTCAGCAAGGATACATTAAATGGGGCAAAAGTGACAGCAATGACATGTATGTTACCAAAGATTTTCCTTTCAAATAAATGCTGCACATTAGAATGATTTCTGAAAGATCATGTGACACTGAAGACTGGAGTAATGATGCTGAAAATTCAGCTTTGCATCACAGGAATGAATTACATTTTAAAATATATTCAAATAGAAAACAGCTGTTTTAAATTGTATTTTTTTTTCACACTATTACTGTTTTATTGTATTTTTGATCAAATAAATACAACCTTGGTGAGCAAACATGTTATGTTGTTTATATAAACTGTGGGATGGTCTGAAATTAGTTTCACATGCAATCGGTAGAGCTTGACTTTTTTTTTGAACCCATATAACATTTCGTTTCACAATAAAAGTCATGTGAACTCAGCTTTAGAAGGTAAACAAGGGTAGCATGGCATTGCACATAAATACAAAACGCTGCTCGGCCTTGAATGTCGAGAGAGACAGCTGTCAGTTAAAAAACCCTCTCCACCTCTAATGATAGGCGTTCTAGACACTTCCATTTAGTGCTACACCGCAGACAGGTTAAAAGAGGTTGCTGATTGCAAGGGTATATCCAGAGAACTGTCCTCACATCAGATATAGCTCAGTCCTGTGTACAATACAGACCTGACAGTCACTCCTGATGGCCGTCTATGATGACAACTGGATTATTAGACCGACAGTCAGCCTCTGATAGGTTTAGACTGTCAGCTGTTGCTATGGTGATTCAGATTAAGCATGTCACATATTATGTGCAATTGATTCTGGGGAGAATGTTATTAACTTCTTGTTCCAAACCTGTAATAATTTCTTTCTTCTTCTGAACACAAAAGAAGATATTTTGAAGAATGCGGTTATCCAAACACGTGTTGGTCCCTAATTACGAAACACTATGGTAGTAATTAGGGACCAAAAAGTGTTTGGTTACCCACATTCTTCAAAATATCTTATCTAGTGCCCAAGAGAAGAAAGAAAATCATACAGGTTTGGAACAATTTGAGGGTGAGTAAATAATGACAGAATTTTCATTTTAAGGTGGATTATCCCTTTACAGTAGATAAAGTAGTTATGAAACTTTTTACATCACAAGATATTAAATATATGACTAAAGCTCTTGAGCGTGAAAGCATACATGACCCATTTATCTGGCACCTGAGCACATGTAAAGAGACAGTGAAGAATAGAGCAACTCAAGAGGGTGAGAAAATCACACTCTCAGTCAGTCTGAGACTTGGGAATGTGAACTCCACCAACAGCTGCTGTCAGAGAGAAGATTATCACCTGATCTCCATACTGTCCCTCAGACCAGCGTAATATCAGCACAGATAACCAGAACCTCCTTACAGTAGCAAAATGTCTCATATTCATATTTTGGTTAAATATTATTTAAAAAAATCTTCTACCTAAGCTAAATGCTGACAGTTAATCTAAAAATTATGCTAAACGCTAAAAAGTATTATTTAATTTTTGAACAGTAGTGTAGTGTAGAGTGATACACAAATATATATATATAAAACAATTATTTATATAATGACAAAATGAGAAAAAAAATGGAAAGAAAAAAAAATGTATATGGAGATCAATACAGAGAAAAACCACCTAGACACTACGTCAAAACATAAACAGATTCAAAAAGCTAGCAACATGCACAGGATGAGATCTACAAATCAAGGTTATGCCCCAAAATTCTATAATCCCACCAAAAAGCATTAATCGGCTTTTGCTTGAACTATGTATGACCTTTTCTTGACCAGAAAAAGAAAGAGAGAGAGAGAGAGAGAGAGAGAAAGTTTAGGTCATTCAGATGACCTTACACATTAAACAAAATTGTGTAAAAGTACTCACACTTAAATGTGCAGCAAAATGCCGAAAACTATGAAAAATCAACTCATTATAAAAACCAGACAACACATGAGTCTGTAGTTTTCAACATCCAAAATGGGCCCATCACAATAACACTCAATAATATGCACAAATTTAGGAAATATACCTGTTTGTCCAAACAATGGAAATCAGAAAAACGGTTGGGGGAAACATGTTTGAAATCAGTGATTATTATACTGTTTGGTGATGATACACACCTTTAAGATGAAAAAACTTCAGGCACCTAAACACCAGAGAGAAATCTGTCAGAGTGTTTGATAGGAGAGAGTAAGATGTGTTTTTTTTAAGTGGGAATATAGCAACTTACAGCCAAAAACATTAACACATTCACAGGATTTCCTGAAGCAGCATAAACTCTAGTGCCCACTGCATGCATGCATATATATATACAGTATATAGAAGAACATCTAAAAAAAATCCAGACCACTTCTGGAAAAGCATTTTTTGGACGGCTGAAATTACCGTAAGATCATTCTGTACCAGAATGATGGGAAGAAAAAAGTGGAGTTGGCTTGGAACAGCTCATGATCCAAAGCATACAACATCACAACAGTGTAATGGCATGAGCGTGCATGGCTTCCAGTGGCACTGGGTTACTGGTGTTTATTGATGACGTGACAGAGGACAGAAGCAGCTGGAAGAATTCTGAAGTGTATAGGTATATACTCTCTACCCAGATTCTGGAGCAAAGTTTATTGGGTGGCGCTTCATAGTACAAATGAACAATGACCCAAAACATATAGCAAAAACAACCCAGGAGTTTTTAAAGGTAAAATAGTGGAATATTCTGCAATGGCCAAGTTAATCTCCTGATTTCAACCCAATTGAGCATGCATTTCACTTGCTGAAGACAAAACTAAAGGCAGAAAGACCCACAAACAAACAACAACTGAAGTCAGCTGCAGTAAAGGCCTGGCACAGTTAAAACAAAAATACACCAAAAAGAAGTTATTCTTGATTTTAGTTTTCATTTTGTTTTGTTGACAACAAAGAACCTGAACAAATGGAGATGAGAATTAGCAGGGTTAAAAATAACATTAAAATTAAAAACTTCAAATCGGACACCTATGCTTGAAAACCACTCACTCACTCGGTGTGCTGCAGTCTGAGGACTATTTTACATCTAGAAATTACAATATGATGAAACTCGCCTTTCCCAGAGTTCAAAGCGCCATAGTCCAGGGCTCCATCCTTGCTCACAGCAACACATGCAAATCCATGAAACAAATAAAGCACACCAAGATGAGACAGAAGAATAAAGACAAGTTGCTTAAAATAAACGCAAATGCACACACACATGCCATTAAAGAGTTTTAAACCTCACATCATGAATCACTAGAAGTAGTAAATGTAAGATGACTGAAGGTTTTCTAATGACTAGAGCGTTAAAGAGGAATTCTTGGCAAAACTACAATAAATTCTTTTCTCGTTAGGTTTTGCATTTGAAATTATGCTGGTTTTGCATTTAATGCTTGTCATTTCACCGAAACAACCCA